CGCTGGTCGCCGGGCCGGAAGAGGCCGGAGCCCTGATTCCCCGCCACTGCTCCGACGGCCCCTGGGCGGACTTTGGCCTCTCAGTCCAGACCGGGCAGGCGGAGAGGCCTCGCGGGTGGCGCTCGGGGGACCAGGCGGACAGGTGCGCGGCTTGGGCGGGTTTGCAGCGCTTGGCATCGCCCGAAGGCCAGCCGGACGCTCCGCGACCCCCCGCGAGGACCGCAGCGTGACCTCCGGTGTTCCCAATTCCTACATCTTGTTGGAGAGTTAACAAGGCGCGACGGCCGAGCGGATGGAGCACGCGCACGGCTCAAGGGTGGCCGCCTTCACACGGCTCTAAGGCCACTCGTGGCTGGGTTGCAGTCACACCCCGAAACCGTAATAGAATCCAATCCCGTTTTAACCCCCGGCGACGTGGGGGGAGAGCCTGCTAAGGGCTGCACTTCTAGGAAAATGAATGGCGTTCTCCTACTGACTACATTTTTAACAGTTGTGTTGTTTTTAATCACTTTGGTGGTCATGTTTGGGTTGTTTTGTGTATTGGTTTCTGAATGTTTCATTGTGTAAGCTGCCCAGAGTCACGGTAGTGAGATGGGTGGCTGTATTAAGCAAACAAACCTAGGCTAGTATGTTGGGTGAACCCAGGTCCTTTGCTGTGGAATCGCATACGCCCCTTCTGGAACCCGGTGCTATTCCGGGGACCGATCTCCATCCCCTTGCCTTCATGTTGACCTATGATGATTGTGGCACTGAATGCAATCCCTAAAATAGCACTGTGTAGTACAAAAGTAACCCACTGTCCTCATTGGTTTGGAAAGGTCTGTGACATTTGCAGTTGCACACGATATGGAGTTTATTGATACCAGAACACAATTCACCAAGGATCTTTTTGGGCGGTGCCCGTGCCCCTTGTCCTGAAGGGTGGCGGGAGTAAGCGTTGTCCGTGCAGAAATCTGAGGGGATGAGAGATGTTATAAATAGGTCAGAGCACTGGAAGGCAAACAGCCCTGTCAGGAGCAGGTGAAATGTGCGCAATTCCTTGGATAATATTAGTTGTGGGGCCCATTTGAGCGTCCTTCACCAACCTGCTGCCCTCTAACTGGGTCAGAACATAACATTAGCAGTGCCCTGCTGGATCAGACCCCTGGCCATCTAGCCAAATGGCCTGTTTTCATAGCAGCCGCCCAACTGCCCAAGGAAGCCACTTGTCCCCCAGCAGATGACCTTCAGAGGAAATCCCATGGCCGTCAGGGCGCTCAGCCCTTGATCCCCAGGACTCCCACGAATTGGTCGAAACTGTTTTTGAAGCCAGCCGAGCTAGTAGCTGGCACTGCATCTCATGGCAGTGAATACCAACACTGAATTACTGAAATATTTCCTTTTGTCTGTCCTGATTCTTCCAGGTTTCAGTTTCATTGGGTGACCTTTGGTTCAGTATTTTGGGAAGGGGAAAACAGCTTCTCCTTGTCCACTTGAGCCACGCCATTCATAATACTGCATACCTCTTCATGTCCTCTCTCATTCACCTCCTTCTGGACTGAAAAGCACCACGTGTCACAACCTTTCCTCATAAGGAAGCTTGTCCGGCCCCCTGATCATAAAACTACAAATCCCATCGTCTCCAGCAAACACGGGGTTGGGTGGAGATCCACATCAGGGGTGGGGAATGGATGCAGAGAGTGTCTCTCCTGGGAATCTTAAAAGCTCACTGGGCAGGTTCTCGCGACTTGCTTGACTTGGTGACTGAGTGAACTCACTTTCTCTGTTCACCCATTTCACAGGCTTACTGAATGGCCTGGATTCGCACAACATACTAAGCCACAGAAGACAGAGTCCTGGTTAATACTAACCAGAGCTTAGCACAGCCTGTGGATATAGGTCATTATTCCATCTGGTGAAATGTGTTTTGTGTGTAAAGGCAGTCACTACGGCTTCCTCTCGGTTTTTTTCCCTGGGCTTTTCCTGCTGGGTGGAGCTGTGAACACTCCAAAGAGAAACTGCCTCATTTTACACTCAAAGCTGTTGAAATTCCAGAAGGGTGAGCAAACCATGCGTTACCATGCCATTTGCAGTCATTTGTAGCATACGTGAAATCCAGTTGGTATATTGCTTGGGATCCCCTGTCCCCCCCACCCATATCTCTAATGTTACTCAGGATGTCTGTCTGTCTGTCTGTCTGTCTATCTGTGGTTTTATAATGTCAGGGAAAGGTTTAACCGTTTTAAGCCAAGTAAGTTTCTTTGCACAACAACACCTGTTGGAATACATCTAATTTATATCCTCTCTTTCCTCAAGAAACTCGTGGCCCACATACAACTCTTTCCTCCCTAATTTCCCCCTACAACAACACGTCTTATGAGATAGGACTAAGACAGAGTGACTTGAATTGGGTCTCCCTGTTCCACACCATACTAGGTTCTTTTTTTTAATTATTTTTAAGGAAATCTGAACCATGTTGTAAGCCATATAATTGTTTGGGAGGTAATTACCTTATGGGAAATTATCTTTTTTCCTTCTCGTTTAAATGTTTTAAAAGTATAATTTATAAATTAATGTCATCCGATTTACAGTTACTGAAATGAATGGGAAACCTGTAAGTTCATTCTTTCCCCATCACTTTCTGAAAGAGGTACTGTAGAGAGAATAACTTGATTGTGTCTTTATTCTTTAAAAAAAAAAAAACGGTCTGCAGGGAGTGAAGCTTATTCAGGAAATAATGCTGTAGTAATTCCAGAAGGACGTATCTGATTCTGCTGGATGCCTCTTTAAGGGTAATGAACCTGCCAATAGCCCTCAATTGGTAGAGTGTCTGGGGCACGTTCAGGAAATCATTCATTCCATCCAGCCTACAAGGCCTGTCTAAATGGAGAAAATGTTACTGGTCTTAAGGGAGCAGGAAGTTAAGCTGCAGGGGAGCTAAAGAAGGAAGGCATAGCCTGCTGGAAGGAAGGCCATGGAGTAAATGATGCGTGGGGAAACAGGATAATAAAAAAACAGGATGCAAGTTGAAGAAATTTAATTAGCTCTGTGTCTCTGCTTTCCCTCATCTTCTGCCTCCTGATGGAGGACACACTATCAGCAGTAGACTGTGGGGAGTGAATTCCATAGTGATAACAAGGAATCAGCCAAATTTGGCCCAGCTTTCCCTGAATCGAGTCCATCTGGCGGTGCATTGAAGATATTTGCAAACGAGGTGCCTCTTGGGGGCAGGCGTCTCTTTCCAAGTGCCAGATGGATGATTTGCAGGGAGTAGCAGCTGGTCAGTTCCATCTAGCTTGACCCAGCATTGTCCTACTGAAAGTTAATATGTACCCAGCTAGACTGAGTGCAAATTGTGCCTGCCAGAAGTTGGGAGACCCAGGGACTGATGGCCCATTCAACATGCTGCGGCCAGACTCCTATCGCTTTGTGAAAAGGTAGACTCAGAAAGTCTTCCGAGGTGGTGATTCTGGAGCTAAGGTCCTTTTCCTCATGTGGAAGCGTCTTGGGGAAGCCCAGAAAGGTGGCTCTGGGGGTGCCCCCAGTTTAAAGTAATGAACTTAATTTCTGCTGCTTGAATTCCTCAGGGCATCAATCACCATGGTGTTGGGTGTTCAGCAAGTCGTAGGATACCTTGCCCTGTGGGCACTTTGCGCCCTGAGCAAACCCACAGAGAAGAAGGACCGCGTCCACCACGATCCTCAGCTGAGTGACAAGGTCCACGATGATGCCCAGAACTTTGATTATGACCATGATGCCTTCCTGGGGGCTGATGAGGCCAAGACCTTTGACCAGCTGACTCCAGAAGAGAGCAAAGAGAGATTGGGGTAAGAGAAGATTGGGCTCTGTGCGTGCGAGAGGCAGTGCTCTGAACTGAGTTTAGCTCCGGAATGTGAGCATCTTGATGTTCCCTTTGGCTGGATGTCTTTGGTTTCCAGAATGATGTTCCAGAGGGGCGTCTGGCTCTCCTAGGAGGCAGTTTCCTTAACGTTCCCCAGCCCTGTCCTAACTAAGCATCACACGTTGCTTGTCATGAAAGTGGGGGGACGACTTCACTTCTGCTCCAAAGCTCTCTTTCGCATATTCCACCACATCTAGTTTCTTTGCTCTTTTTCAGACTGAAATCATAATTCTGCCTCCATTTTCCCAAGGGTAAACCCTGTGGAATTAAAGTGGTTTTCCCTCCAGTTAGTATGAACTAGACAACCCGTGACCCGCTGGATCATCCTTTCAGAGATATTTCCTTACCTAAACAGAAAAACAGAATGACCACGGGCAGGCAAAAAAACAGTGGGAGCAGGAACGACTTCCGGCATCCTGCCGGCTTCCCCATTGACTTTGCTTGCGGGAAGCTGGCAAGGAGCATTGGAAACCCCTCCTCCTCCTCCTCCTCCTCCTCCTCCTCCTCCTCTGGAACTACCTGCCACTTGGCACAAAGGGAGCCATGGACCACAAGGAAAACTGCACTCCCGCTCTCCATTCTGGCGTGTCCCCAAGGGCCTCCTCCCTCTAAGGAGGAAGAGGGCTCACCCGTCAACCGCCGACGCCCCCCAGCCAGCCCTACCTCGCCAGCAGGCATCCAAGTCGCTCCCTTGTCCTTCCCTCACTGCCCACCACCGTTCAGAGATTTCAGATTTTGGCCTCGGTTCCAAAGCAGCCAATCAGTTGGGTGCAAGGGACAGAGGAAGGCAGAAAGAGGTCAGGGATATGCCCCTTCCGTCTTCCCTTGTGCCATGCAACCTATGGGTTTCTGGGAATTGTAGTTGGACGGCGTGGCAGTGTTGGAGCAGCCACATCTTTGCCAAATTTCAGTCCCATGGGAGTCATGGGTCCCAGATTTTGGACGCGTTCTGTAAGTTAGCCCATTTGAGGTACCTTGGTTCAAAAATCGTTGCCCTACGATGCACCGTTTCACCCAGCTGAAGGTTACAGACATGAGAGTTTTAGTAAGTATGTAGATAGCTCTGGCCTTGGTTTCTTCGAAACCTGGGCAACTCATCTGTTAGTTTGCCTTAAGAGCTGATGCAAGCTTAATAAAGTAAATACTGTGATAATAAAAGGATAGCAGAGACCAAGACGTTGGTGCTTTCTTCCTTGTCCTATTTGTTTGAGCCCACTCAAATAGGGGCTTGGTATGCACCTTGGGGAGAGTAGCAGTATCTTAATGTGTGTTAATCCCTTTGGTTTTATTGCAGTGGCTCGTGAGGGGGCCAGAACAAAGCAGTGACTTTGATAGGGCCCTCTGGTGCACGAGGGGAAAGGCCCTCCCTTCCTCTTCCCTGGTCCCAAGTGTCAAGTCACAGGAGTGACAACTGTGGTTATATTTGGCTCTGCATTCTGATGCTTCTGTTGCTCCAGAGCTGCAGGGTGGGGAGGGGAGAGACAGAATCACTGGCTTTTGAGTCTGCTCTGCATTCAGCTCTTCCAAATTTATCACCTGGGCCAATAGAGAGAGAAACTCCCTGCAGATCAAACTTCCTAGTTTTGGATTAAGCTATAACACACACGCACACACATACACACACTGCTGCTTATTCAGCCTTTTATTAAGATGGGGGCTCTTTAGTGAATCGGGGATTGGCTGGAGAGCTTTGCGTCCTCGTGGATGCTCCCGCAGTTGCTGCTGCTTGCAACCTGCCTCTTGCTGGCAGAGCCATGAAAGTCACAGCCCTGTAGATCCGCTGGGAAGGCTGCAGCCCAGGCCGGGAGGCTATTCCTTCTTTTCCAGGACACTTCTCCAGCTTTCAGGGAAATGCCATCGGGGGTAAGAGGAATCGGGGCCAAAACCCATGGGCCAGCTTGCCCCAGAGGCCACCCCTTGTCCCTGCCTGCTTGGGCACAGCTGGCAGAGTATTTTGGGGAGGGGATGTTCTGCTGCGGGAAGCGCTGCAGGACTGACTCTGGATTGGGCTGGGTAGGCTGTGCGGCTCTCTGGACCTCCTCCAGAATCCCCTCCTCACAACCTTCCCTTATGGGTTGCATTTCAGTTCAGGCCTCCCTGACATGCTCCAATCTCAGCAGAGCCGTGCAGGTGGGCAGCTCTCCTGCGGATCACACAGTGAGACGAAAATCTGACACCCCAGCCCGAAAGCTTTTGACCTGGCACCAGGTGTCAGGGCTAAAAGGGGCTCGCTTGACAAACGGTGCAAAACCTGAATCCCCCCTCCCTGCTGTTCCTCCAACCCCACCCCGAAGCTGCTTCCTCATGAAGCTGTTTCACCTTCCTTTTCCACCTCCATATTGCAGGTGAGGGGTCGCTAAGTGTGGCATCTTGGAAGGGTGCTGTTCAAGCTTGCGAAAGATGTGGTTTGTCCATAGGATTGGGTGCCATGGGAAGGAAATCTCCCAGAACATGTTGCCTATAGATTCCGGAAGGGACATATGCCCCATCCCCGGGGGAGTGCCAGCTGGACGGTGCTAACCCTCCCCCTTTCACTCTCTTGTGGGTTATTGCAATTAAACTGGTCTTTGGGTGTCTGGTCTTCTGGGCCCGTGGCTCTTCCCAGCTCCCCACTCTCCGTGCGTTCCCCCCACAAACGCCCGCCTTCTCCTGCTCTTAATTCTTTTTCTGCATTTCCCACAGAAAGATTGTAAGTAAAATAGATGAAGACAAGGACGGGTTTGTAACAGTGGAAGAGCTAAAAGCCTGGATTAAGTTTGCCCAAAAGCGCTGGATTTACGAGGATGTAGAGCGCCAGTGGAAGGGGCACGACCTCAATGGGGACGGTCTGATTTCTTGGGAGGAGTATAAAAATGCCACCTACGGCTACGTCTTAGGTAGGTCTCACGATGAGAGCTGTGCGGAGGCTGCCCCTTGAATCTTGCTGTTTTGTCTTGTAGAATGATTGTAGCTAAAATAGACACGGATAAGGATGGGTTTGTGACCGAGGGGGAGCTGAAGGACTGGATTAAGAAGGCGCAGAAGAAGTACGTGTTTGACAATGTAGCGCGCCAGTGGCAGGAGTATGACATGAATCAAGATGGCTTGATCTCCTGGGATGAGTACAGGAACGTGACCTATGACACTTACCTGGGTAAGGGGCGAGTGGGTGCAGCTGTGCTGGGAAACACTGATCTCCTATCGACGAAGCAGAAGGGAGGGTGGTCCTGGGAGTCAGGCAGAGGCTGGATAGTCATCTGTTGGGGATGGCGTAGTGGATCCTGCAGGGGGGCTCGCAAGGGTCATGCCGGGCCCGTCCTTTGAGCCGGGCGCTTCCTGCTCTCCTTTTAGAGCGGGATATTTGAGTGCCCAGTCGTCGGCAAATTCAGATCAGTGCTGCAGAGAAATGCTGCTGGGGAAGCGTGGTGGGTCAGGCTTCATACTCTGCAGCCATCCTGCTGAACGGTTCCTGCCGAGAGCTGTTCTTTCCCCTCCATTGGGGCTGTGGAGTGAGAAGGTTCACCCAGTGCAGGGACCTTTGGGGGCTCCTGTTTTCTGACTGACAGATTCCGCACTCAGCGCCCCACTGACCAGAAGGGTGTCCTGGGTCTGCGGTGTGGCACCATGGACACGCTCATCTGAGAGGAGATCTAGGCTGAGGGCATAGGGCCAAGCTTATTTGCTGAAAGATCTCTTCTAGTGGCAGCATGCCAATGGCTGCCAACCCTCCCTTGCCTAAGAGCCCAGTAAAATCCTGTTGGTAGCATGTCAGTAGAGCAGCGTTTCCCAACTTCGGCCACTTGAAGATGTGTGGACTTCAACTCCCAGAATTCCACAGCCAACATGCTGGCTATGGAATTCTGGGAGTTGAAGCCCACACATCTTCAAGTGGCCGAAGTTGGGAAATGCTGCTGTAGAGATAGTTTCGGAACATTGGTTTCCTCATGTGCAGCTGTGAGCATTATTTTTAAGGCATCCTCTGGTTTGGATTTTGTTAAGGGATCCAGGGAGTAGTTTTTTTTCAGACTGGCTCTCTTTAGTTGGCCGGGCCAGTTGGGCGTCCTTCAGCCCAACTGCAGACTTACATTTTATCGTGTGCAGATATACTTTGTCCTTGGCCTGACCTTTGTGAGGTCACATAATCGGAAGAGAAGTGGCAAGCATTCCCAAAGGAGGTGCATCCCCAAAGGAGATACAGTAGTCCTCGCTTAACGACCACAATAAGGACTGGAAAATTCGTTGTTAAGTGAGCCACGCCCGATTTTATGACCTTTTTTGCTGTGGTCATTAAGCGAATCACTGTGGCTGTTAAGCAAATCATGTGGTTGTTGAGTGACTCATGCAGTTCCCCATTGATTTTGCTTGCTGGAAGCAGGCTGGGAAGTTTGCAAATGGCAATCACATGACCCTGGGACGCTGCAACTGTTGTAAGTGTGAACTGGTTGCCAAGCGCCCAGATCGTGATCATGTGACTACTGGGGTGCTGCGACTGTTGTAAGTTCGAGGACTGGTTGTAAGTCCCTTTGTTCAGTGTCGTAACTTCAAAGGGTCACTAAACAAACGGTTCTTAAGTGAGGACTACCTGTATGCTTCATAAAGTTAGAAAGACCCTTTCCAGAAATCTAAAAACTGATACTGGTTTAATCATCCAGTAAAGTCTGATGAGTCTCTCACCGACAAAGCTTTCCATTTACACTTCCTGATTCTAGAGCGTTTAAGCTGGCAAATGAGCCGCATCGATTGCTTTGTAACGTATGGGTCAATGGATCAGCTTTCGTTTGGATACAGGACGGAAAGGTTTCCCATCTGGGTCAGATGGCGACTTGTTCAAAACAAAACTGCCGGGGCTGAAACATTTCAAAATAGAGCTCGGCCAGCAGAGCTAAGGAGCACTCTGCCCATAATCCTGGACCTCAATGAACCCAGACTCTGGAGTCTGGGGAGGGGCAGGGGCGGTGCATGCTTGAAAAAGGCAGTGCTTCTGTTGCAGGGTGGTGGCCATCACCTTGATGGTTTGTAGGCACCCCCCCGCAGGTGCCCCTGGGGAGGGAAGTGAGGGTCACCATGCCACTGCAGCCTTGATTTTGCAGTACCAAGTCAAACGAGTGTTTATAGGGTAGGACAAATGGTCAGGGATACCTGCGGGGGGGGGGGTCAAAAAAGTCAAGGTGGCAGCCACAGCCACGTGATCGTGTGAGGCGTGCCCTGCTGGATTGGACCGCGGCCCATCTCGTCCAACAGCCTGTTCTCGCAGTGGCCAACCAGCTGCCCAAGGAAGCCCGCCAGTCCCCCAGCAGGTGGCCTCCAGAGGCAGTCTCACAGTCCTGGACCCCCAGGACTTCCATCAGTCGGTCCAGCCCTTTCTTGAAGCCGGCCAAGCGGGTAGCCAGCGCCACATCTCGTGGTAGAAAAGGGGTGGGGCTTTGCGTGCACGGTTGGGCTGTCATCTTGGCTTTCTGACACCTCTGCAGATGGCTGAGACCTGGCCCCCTTGGCGGCTCCCTGTTCTGGGTGAGCAGATTTTGGGGCGGCTCAGTGTGGCCAGATAGATCTCCCTTGCCCCTTTAGTTCCTGTGCCTCTCCCGGGAGTTTGACCTACCGGGTTTGCTAGGCCTGGATGTGCAACTTTGGAGCCACCGTAAGGTTGAATGGTGGGGCAGCGACCCTTCCGTGACCCCCTGCCTTTGCCATCCAGATGATCCGGACCCGGACGACGGCTTCAATTACAAACAGATGATGGTGCGGGATGAGCGGAGGTTCAAAATGGCCGATAAGGACGGGGACCTGATTGCAACCAAGGAGGAATTCACGGCTTTCTTGCACCCTGAAGAATACGAGTACATGAAAGACATCGTCGTGCAGGTGGGTTGCGTAATCCCCGGGCACTGTCGGAGCAACGCGTTATTTATTGCCTGGTTTTTATTTATTAACTTCCTGATGTTTACGTGCCACCCACAAGGACACCAGGGCCACCATGGGCAGTGCCCAGGAACTGGAGGGAGGGAGGGAGGGGTGTGCCCGCAGCGTCCTAAAGTGGCAGGAGGAGCCAGACAGGTGGCAGCAGCTTTGTCAGTGATGCAGGCTGCTGGTGTCCCTGGCAGAAATTGTGTTGGGAGAAGAAGGAAACAGAACGGCCAACCTCAGGCTGAGGGTGAGAGGAAGGCCAGTCGCGAAGGCGTCGCTGGAAATAGGGGTTCCAGTGCCCATCTGTGCCACAGTGAGTGGGATGGCAGGAAGAGCCTCTGGGCCCTGCTACTGCTGCTACTTCTAATCGTGAAAACTCCACCTGCTTCTTTTGGCTGGGGGATCAGGAAGGGGCACCGCAGGGTTAGGGTGCAAGTTGGGCTCCTAGCTGGCACAAGATTGGTGCTGCGCGCTTTCTGCATTAAACTGGGCGCTGTTTAAAGCTGGGTCTTAATCTTTAGAGCCCTAAGCGGGACTCTCTGTAGGAGGGCTTCTCCATTAAGGGCCTCTGTGGCTGTTCAGGTCTGCGGGCGAGCTCTTTCGGACAGAGGCGCCTCTTGGTACGTTCGGGTTTGGTTTTACATGGGCGTTCTGCGTGCTCCTCTTCTCTCTCTTTCAATTGCTTTGGTTTTATTACGCCCAGCACCAGGAGTCATCTGGAATCAGGCGTTTTTAAATAATAATAGTTTATTAAATTATATATGCCACCTGACTCCCAGTGACTCTGGGCGGTTTAGAAACATATATGTCATAACAAATAAACAAAATCTGTCTGCACGTGGAGGAGGACTTCCAGCTTCCCTTCCCTTGTTCCCCAGGCTTTTAATTGTTCATTCGTGTTGCTCTTGTTTTCATTTGCATCTTCGATTTTTTTCCCTTTGCTTCTGTGCTGGGGTTTGTGTGTTTCACATTGTGTTCAGCGTCAGCTGCATTGAGGTCCCAAAGCAAATAGAAAGATGGGATACAGGTGAAATGAATCCTAATGTTTAATTAGGGTGTTTAATTGTTGTACGCCGCCCAGAGTCACCTTGTGTGAGATGGGTGGCTATATAAATATGATAACGCCCTTGTTATCTCCCAGATAGACTACTGTATGCGCTCTACATGGGGCTACCCTTGAAGAGTATCCGGAAGCTTCAGCTGGCCCAGAATGCGGCCGCGCCGGCTATTTTTGGAGCCCGAAGGAGGGCCCATGTAATGCCTCTGCCCCGCGAGCTGCATTGGGTACCAGTTTGCTTCTGGGTCAAATTCAAGGTGTTGTTTATCCCCTTTAAAGCCCAACAGGGCATGGGGCCAGGTTACTTAAGGGACCGCCTCTCCCCTATG